TTTCCCGTTACCCAAGAAGTTGTCATTTCTCTCTGAGCCCAATTCACATTAAGCGTCCCCAATGAACGATTTCCTACTCTTCCATTTCCCATCACCCCTACCCCCACCACTCTTTAGTGCATTCGGCATTACCATCTTACAGTAAGTGACTCCTTCATCTATCCCCTTTCTTCTTTCATTCTTTTACCCATTATCTCGGCCAGCCTCCCTTCAATGACTCACTCCCCTGTCAGACCCATACATCTTCCTGCTCTCTTTTTCCACCTAGCGCTGCTACTGCTGTCAGCCTATCTCTCCATCATCCATCCTTCTGCCTCCTCTTTCTTTACTAATCTCCTCTTGCCATCATTACAAAACAGCAAACCCCTTTCTGTTCTAGATCGGCATGGAAAATTGGGCCATGATCAAATACTTTTGTGGCATTTCTATTCATATGCTGTCCCTCACTGTCATTGACCCCTGACTTTGTTTCTCCATTTTTGTACCTTTCTGTTCACCATTTTAAGGGTGCCACAGTTAGCATTTTAACATCACCAATCCACTATCACATCAAAATTGGAACATTATTGTAATTGCCCTCAACCAGTGAGCCCATTACTGAAACCACTGGCAGCCTGTACAGGCTTCGATTTTACACTGTTACATGAAAAGCACCAGGTTAGACTCTAGAAAACTACTAGACTGACTAATGTCATGAAAAAGAAGACAAAGTTAATTAAGCTTTTTTGGAATTGTCCTCTTAATTACATCATTTCTTTGCCTAACCAAGAACCATCTTATTCATTAATATACTAAACTGTATATTGATCAATATGGAATAAAATAATTCAGGATAACCATTCTTCAGAGATCACATTAGTAATCAGTGGTTTTGTTATTTGAGATTAAACATGTTAACATGTTTAATTTTTCGTTGTAAGGTCAGTGAGGTTTAATGAGTAGTTTTCATTTCAGTGTTCATGTGTGCATGTGTGCACAATGGCTTGGCTTTGACCTGACTCTTGTTGTTGACGGAGTTTCAGTAATGTTATTTTCATCTGTGTTTGACAAGTTAAAAATGTCAGCCCTGAATGTATTAACTTAAGCTTTTCATGCTTTATGCCTTGGGATTATAACTTAAGGTACCTGGATTTATGATGCATGTGCACAGGCTTAGATTTCTATCACACAGTATATAAATGGAACAAAGCTATTATTGATGTTGTTAGTTTCATGTGTGCCATCTGTGTTTGACATGTCAAAACATCAGTCAGGTACATATTAACTCAAGTTTCTCATAGCTTTGTAACCTGAGAACAGCAATAATCATGTAAATGAATTCGGTCAACTTTTATCACAGTAGACATTCTGACAAACCAAATACAGGTGTAATTAATATGGTGTTCCAGCAGCAGGAAGTTTGCCTTGGACATGTTAGGTCAATATCAGCTTCCTGGCACAAGTGCAATATATGTAACATATCACCATTAATGTTATTAGTTCCACCTGTGGTTTACGAGTCAAAATGTCATAAAAAGGTTTTCAACGTGTTAGCTTCTATGGCTGTGTATAATGATGTTAACCAGGAACATGTTAATAGGCTGAGATATTTAAAACAAATATGTCTTTCATGATTTGGGGAAACTAGAAATATTAATGATGACCTGTTACATCTCCATCTTTCTAGTGCCAGAGCATTTACAGGGCTGTGTGCATACTGGTTCCTTAGCTTGACTTTCTGGCACATCTACAGATCATGGAAGAAAGCCATTGCTGATATGATAGTAGCTGTACCTGTATCACCTCATGGGCTGAGCCAGGGGGAATCCTATTGGCCACCCTTGGTGCCACCCCTTCTAGAGTCCAAATGTGATGCTTGTCAGTATTAATGGATGAGAAATGAAAAGCAATGACAAATTGTTGCCTTAAATACAAAAAAAAATTATAATAGTTTATATCATGCATACAGCATGATATTTGCCTTCATTTCTCTGATTGTGTTGTTGTGGAGTACTTGGCGTGATTAGATCTGGTTTAATTTACTTTTAATACATGTTTTTCGAATGTGCTACCCTTCTCTGGGTCTGTGCCCAGTTCTGGCCACCACTTCCAAAATTTTCTAGCTCCTCCCTTGAAGCACCTGTGTTCAACATGCCAGAATGTCAACCCAGTGTGAATGCCCACACCATATTGACACCCTCCTCCCAGCCCCCAAACCCTTCAACAGAAGCAACACCATACTATTAGTATAAAACTCATGGTAATTATGCCAAGTCATCATAATTCATTTGGTAAATTTATTGTGATGCATTTTTCCAGTCATCACAAATATCAAACTTTTGCATGTGGCAGTGTTGGTAGCATTCTTTTATCTTTTAACTATACAACTGTTTTCCTTCTTCACTTATTTTGGTCCCTCTATTTTCACTTAGGACCGGAAGCCATAGAGGGGCGAGGGATCGGTTTACACACAGGAATGAGTGTCGGCGTGTGTATCTGGGTTTCCTTCTCTGCTGTTCTTCTTCTGCTGAAGGTGTAATGATTGACCTCCACCTGGAATTGTCCTTAAACGTTCCTCAAAGACCCCACCCCCCCGCTCCGTCCCTCCCATTCTTTGGAAGGAAGAAGGAAATTAAATTCTTTAATTACAAACCCATCACTGTGAACAAAAAGAATATGCATTATTCCAGGAGCCATTGAATCATTGCATCAAACACAGTACCACATCACCTCCCTTCAAAAACCCTGAGCACCCTCAATTCAATTTTTAGGTCAACTCATCGTCATAATCTGTTTTTATTCTCTCTTTCTTCTCTCACACACACACAGTCCCAGAATGCCTTGCAGATTTGTCTGACTTGGTACTTTGCTCCTCACCTTGTTTCCCCTCATCATTACCACTGGACTGATGTTGATAGAGTGTATATTAATAATTACTGTGTCAGTGATCAATGAGAAAATAGATAATCTTACAACTGGACGATCATTTATGTAATATATTACATAGACTAATGACTGACCTACAATGTTTGCCTTATGGAAATTATACATAAAATCACAATATTATGGTGGATATTTATGGAAATGATAGTTACAATGTGCTACTGGTGGTCATGTGACCTTTGGAAAAATGTCCGATTGGTGACCATGTGAAGTGTCACCGTTTGATCACACACACAAACATATGGCTTTTTGATTTTAACTGTGTAGCAGTAAAGCTGCTATGAATGATGTCAAAATGTATTTAAAAAAAGGGTGGGTGGTGATGGCGTCAGTCTTAATGATAGTTTATACCAGTTTCGCATGTTGACGCCCTCACTACCCAAACCTTTTTAACAACCCCTCTCCCCACCCCTCTGTTCAGTGTGCTCTGTCTACTTGCCCTTCACATCGCTAGTGTTCTGTGGTCCATGCCACCCCCCCACCCCACCTTCTCCACTGTAAATATATACAATACAGAGGCTGGCGGCCTCAAGTTGCCTGGCGCAGAACATCTCCCATCAGCCTCAATTACGCTCCAGTCTTCTGAAGCAGCAAGAGACTGTCAAATGACAACACCATCTTCTGTTTCAAAGCTGCGGCTCCATCCTCTTTGTCGCTTGTTGATAGCATGTACTGGTTAGAGATGTTCCTGTTGTGAGTTCATACACCCTACACTCCCTCCCCTCCCTCCCTGCACTGTGTCTGTTTTACTCTGTAAGGTTACCTGCTTTTACTTTTTGGTGTTAATAATACTACAGATGATGATGATGTTAATAAGTATTTGAATAACTATGAATAGTAATTCCATGTGAGAAAAAAAAATGAACAAAAGCAAATGGTAATGAGCCGTACCTGGGGAAAAATAATTTTTGTACTCTGAGAAGTCACACACATTGAACAACTACAATGAAAAAACAAAACAAAAAAAGATGTAAAGTTTTCAAAGTGATGTGCTCTATTTTGCCATGACAAGCTTTTTAAAAACACATTTGAAACAGTCTACAGAATTATTTCATCTGAGTCCAGAAGCAGTGAGTGATGATGTAATTTATAATTTGTAACAGCTTATGTATAGAACTTTTTTTGTCACACTGTTAACTGCATCACACACACATTCACTGCTTATTTGTCCACTTATCATAGTATGTCTCTCTCTGACCAGCTAGATAAATAATCTGGATCCATGTCAGTCCCTGGTCATGGCTGTAAGTCAGTTCTTGTTCAGCTAGACCGCAGCGAGATAAAGATGTAATTAGCCATTACCTGTGGCTGGCTAAGCGAAGAAGTCAGGGCTCCACCTGTCTCTTCCACCAGCCTGTGATGGCCCCCATAAATCAAGATCAATCCTGCCACTGACAGGAATCCTCTTCAAGGACAACCTCGCCTTGGTGCACCAGTACTCCCTCCAGTGTGTACCTGTGACATGCAGGCAAAGCACTACAAAACTCCCATGGCACAATTACCCAGCCACTCCCCCTGCACAGCACAAACAGTGGGAGGTACAGTAAGCCCATATTTCTCTAAGGTTAGCGCTCTTTTCTCTGCTGAAACACTATTCTACTCACATGCAGCGACTATATGCAAATTTGCCATAAAGGGCCTGCATGGAAAGATGAGTTTATCCCAACTGAACCCAGACTACTGCGATCTTAAAGGGGAATTACTCAGTATTGAATAAATTGTCTGAGTGTGTTTTGCTTGATTTTGTTTCAAACCAGCAATAACTCCTAACTGTACTGTGCAAGCGGTATCAGATATGATTAAAGTTGTGGTGTAATATCTGGAAAATTGCCTTTAACAAGGTATATCAAATATGTCTGTTGTTGTACTTTTACTGTGTACAGTACTCTGAAATGGTTGTGAAGCTCTGTTTAATAGCCCACTAATCTAAAACACTACATGTTGTATTCAAGACGTCTTGCCCTCCGCGATGTACTTGGGTTGTCCATGTGACTGAACACACACTGTTTGTTTATGCATCTTGTTGCTCCAGAAATAATGACGGGATTCCATTTCAAGCACAAGAGCAGGTCTTTCAGTCAGCGCTTCTTTTTTCTCTCTCAGTCACTTTTCTCTCATTATCTTTGTCTTTCATGCTGTCTTTTCCATTTCTCACTCACACTGTTCCATGTCAGTGTCCCACTGGGTTTGTCAGTGGCATATAACATCTGTATGTACTGTACATAATCTGTCCTTGGCGAAGAAAAAAGAATCAAAAGATCAAAAAAAGAACAAAAAATAACATTCTGTCATGTTTCTCAATGTGGGTTTGAAAAAAGCATGTCAATATTTGTCTATGGATGGATTTTGGGGAGAAAAAGTAAACATTGTATGTTGTGTTTTGGTTTATGGGTAACGGGTCCAAACGGAGGGGGATTCCACATATATCATTTGAAATAGTGGAGTGGTGATAAACAGAATGTGGGCATTTGTACAAATGAGCAGCAAAAGAACATGTTTTCATGAGTCCCTTATGTATATAAATGAGTCTTATTTAAGGTGTGATAGAGGAGGACAAGAAAAGGTGGGGCAAGAAGGCAGCAGATCCCCAATTTGAGGATGCTGTTGAGAAAGAGCCCGGTCTGATGGGCCTGTGGGAGGATAGCCTGACAATGTAAATCCAAACGTTGAGAGCCAGAGGGAGATGGGATGACACTAACCAGACAATGAACTCTCCATTTAGGGGAAAAAGACAGACAGCCGCTTATATTGCATTTCCAAACTTGAGTGGTGTGGTCCTTCTCAGGGGAAGTTGTACCACACACTATTTATGGTTGCACCATGTAATAGGAATAGTATTAACGTAGGCTTGATCACAAACACAGTCTGGCCTACTTCAAGTGTATAAATAACACCCCATCTGGGGTTTAGTGATTTTACAGTCATATAAACAAGATGTTTGCTCGGCCCCTAATTACATTCAGTGCACCCTGATGAGAAAGCGTTGACTGGCTCCTGCAACTGAAGGTTATGATGATTTGTTTACAGAATTTTTGCTAAAAAGGTGCCATGAAACCATTTTAGAGCTAACAAAAGGAGCACGTAGTGCCAGTTTACAGTACATATTGTATTGCACTTTAATGGCTGTACTTTTGTTTGCTTTTAGTTTAAGGTAAGATTTAATCAATGCTACAGGTGTAGCAGTGAGAAAAGGAGGTGACTTGATATAGTTGTAAATAAATGACAATTTTTGCTTTTTTTATTAACATATCAGTGCAGTGTTTTGAAATGGATTTTAGGAACAGGGATTGTGATATACTTTGAAATAGATTAACAGTTTCAGAGCACTGTGCCTTTGCTCAGAAGAGTCAGGTAATTACGCTTTTTAGGGTGTAAGGACAGATACCACACATCATTTCTGAACTGTTGCAGCGACAGTAAAATCATTATGGTGCTTCAGAGTCAAGACTGTATATTAGCAAAGTAAGTGTAAGCCTGGAGAGGATTTGAATGTACTGCTTTTTTTTTTATGCGGCAGGCTCGGGCTGTAGCTTTTTCTAAACATCACTACATAGAACAGATCCTGGACACAATCTCCATTCAGAATGCAGTGGTTAATCAATACATTTGAGTCAATGGCGTTGGAATAGAGCAATTTCTTCCCGGCTTGCCTTACTAGGTCCCCAGAAGCTGAATTGATCAAGTGTCTATGGACCAGCCTAAGAACAGAGAGCATAATTCATCATGCCTGATACAAGACACCCCTAATTGCGCATCGATTTTAAGCCTTTCTCTGAAACTATTTGGGCAAGCTGTAATGTCAGCTCCGTAAACTCTATGTTCAGAGCTGTGGTTCAGATTCAAGGAATGAAGAATTAATCATTTGTGTTTTGTTCCACCTCAGTATAGGCTGATGTTTATAGTTTGTTATGCTACATAACATAGTGTTAATCGTACATGCTCCCTTGGCTTTTACAGTGTATGTGCAATGTGGTAGGTGCTGTAGTGTTCTATTATATTTTATTAGTAATGACAGAGATGCAACCTGATTCATTTTGCAGTTGCCAGTAGCAGCAGGTATTGGTACTATGTATTTAGTGGCTTGTTTCTGGATGTAAAATGCAAAGACATAAGGCATGAGCATGCAATACATAGTAAGAAATTAAATGTAAGAGAGAATATTTTAAGAATGTAAGACATTGCCAGTGTTGCAGTGTCAAAGTCAGTAAACCAAAAGGACATTCTGCGCAGAGTGACAATTATATATAAATGATTATCAATGTTCGAAATCCCTTGTTCACGTCTTTTACAGCAAAGCACGCCTAATTCCCATATATTATCCTAATTATCCATTGTTTACCTAGCATCTACAGGCTCATTCGGTTCTCATGGGCCAAGTCAATGTTCCAAGTCTATTAAGGCCCAGCACTTTTCCATTACCACCGCTAATGAGCGCATTAGTATACAGCATGCTAGACAGAACTGTGACGAGGAAAGTCTCTATAACAGTGAACTCAATCGCACTTCAGGTGTTTGAAATGACATCAGATCTGTTCATTTAAGAGTCACTTGACAATTAGAAGATCAAAGTCTAGATCAGGATTAGTGTTCATTAGCTGTAGTAGGTACATATACAGTATATACAGTAGGAAAGATACAATAAGATAGATACTGATAAGATCGATAGATACAGTAGATAGATTTAATGCTGTAGTGTTGGTAATTAGCTGAGTTTCTTATGCATATCATTAGGATCAGGTACAGTATATATTTAAAATATCAGCTTGCTGCAGAGATGTTGGGCCACAGAGCCTCTTCCTTGCCCTCTTCCTCACTGCAGCCACAGATGGTGTCTTGTCAGTCACTCACCCCTTTGTGAACACAAATGTCTGGCTAATTAACGGCGTGTTGCACTTCACGAGTTGAGCAACAGCAATCTTCACACAGACCATGCAACACAATGGAGGCATCTCACCCACCATGTCTCCCCTAGTCATTAAGTCGCCCACCTCACATCTCCAACACTGAAAGAGTCCCATTACTCGGCCTCTCTGAATCACCAGCCCACGCCTGGCATTTTCCTTGTCAATCAGCCAAGGGGTAAATATTGGTTGTGGTGCTAAGAACTGACAAGGGAAAGTTGGATTTCTTTCACAAGTGACAGCACCAACTGGTGTTTTTGTGCTGAATTATTTTTCAGTTATGAGACAGTAGGGATGCCAGGCTGTGGTGAAGCCACTGATGCAGGCTGCAAGTGTCTTATTACTGTGTAAGGTGCGCTGGAGGCTGGGATGCATGACAGGATGTATGATAGGGGACAGTCATGTGCTGTGCCTCAAGAGGGCAATAACAGTGAACAGACTGCAGGAGCCCTGACTGCAGAGTAATGGAAAATGTCTCATTTGGAAAATAACAAATTTTAACAGGGGAGAACCCACTGATTATAATTGAGGGACTGAGTTGGTTTGGGTTAGTGTCGAATGGGAAACCCAGCTCTCTCTCTCTCTCTCTCTCTCTCTCTCTCTCTCTCTTTATCTTTTTTTTTTCTGCTTGCTCTCTCTCCCCACACACACACACACACACACACACACACACACTTTATATCCTTCATTTTTCTTGTCCTCAGCTTCCTTTTCCTTGATAATCTGTAAAAAGATCTGCCCTCCCACCCCTCAGCCCTCCTGGTTTGCCCACTCTGCTGTTGCTGATATAAATGTGTTTGTATGTGAGTATGTATATGAGTGTGTGTATTGGTGTGTCTAAGTGCAAGTGTGTATTGAGTTCCATAAGCAGCTGATAGTATGTGCGCATCTGTGTCTTTGTATTCTCTGATCTGCACAGGGCAGGCATGTTTGGTTCAATCACAACACAGTCCTGAATTACATGTTCAGCTGCTTGTTCTCCGGATCTCATCAATGTAAACACACAAAACAGAAAAAAAAAACTATGAAAGGAACAAAACATTTGTCTTCCACCCTGACAGATGTTCAGCGCGGTGAAGCGATGATTGTACTTCTTTTTGATCCGTTTAGTTGCTGAAATTGTCTTCTCTGACTTTTATTTTGAAGTGTGTCTCTTTTTTTTTCCATCTATGAAGTGAAGTTAAAAATGATATGAAGTGGAGGAAGACAAAAATAAATAAATAAATAAATTAAAA